CAAAAACTGTTTTGTACTGACATCCCACGTTTTATTTCCTGAACCTCAATTATATCCAACTTTTTCTGTGATTTTAAATCTCCGTTTATCACATACACCATAAAATAATTGTGACTAATTTCTGCTGCACAAAAAATATAAATAAATTTTATGAACCCCCCCCATGCTTTTCCTGTTATTTGTGTAGTTTTATTTCAATTATGCAGTAATACACGACTAATTTCTGCTGCTAATCCCCCACACTTATAGCTAAGTAAACTTAAATTCATGCAGCCGAGGCACTAAGGAAAAAAAGCTCATTAGAATAGTTGCCATGAAAATATTTGTAGAAAAGACAGAGGGAAGGCTGATAAGAAAGTCGAGTTGCAAATTCAGGATCGATTACATTAGAGACCGTTCTTTGAATTTTGTCAAGAATCTCAGGATATATATTAGAAGCAACAAACTAGATATGGAAACAGTATTCAATGCACTAATGAATGTAGATTTATAAATGTAAAAGATGGATTCTGACAAGAAAGATTTTCCCAGTGAGCCAACTTTCTTAACAGTAAACATAGCAATTGATTCAATATAAACATTCCACTTCATGTCAGTTGGAAACGTGAACCCAAGAAAGGGCAAAGAGTTGTTCTCCTGGAGTTTAACTTTGGTGGTCGGTGTTCTAGGACTGTATTCATTTTATTCGATCGACCCCCGCCTGTTCAATTCTATTTTGGGATCTATGGTTAGCGGAAAGACATGAAAGGAAGTGAAACAATATGGCGACTTGTGTTAAATGTAATTTTTTAAGCAAATCATCCTAAGCAAGGCGGGAGTGCCACTAGCACGCAAGGGGTTACAGAGTGAGAGTAAGAGTAAAGAGGAGTGTTTGGGAAAAGGATAAAGAGGACAGGGATCAAGGTGAAGGCATCAGAAGATATCGATTGACATTACATTTGAATATTTGAAGATTAGAGCTGATAGACGGAGACACATATATGGAAGGTCGGGAGATTCAAGAGAGAGTTCCCTAGTCAGTTGGAGGTAATCTCGGACGTGAATTCCCAGGCCATGCATGTGGATTTTAGAGTGTTCTCTAAAGAGAGGGAGGTAACCAGGAAACGAGAAATCAGAGGAGGGGCTTGATGAGTTAAGGTTGGTCTCGCAGAGAGCTAGTATATCAGGAGATTTTTGAACGAGGAATGATTTCACACTGCAGAAGTTGGAGCGAATGCCACGGATGTTGGAAAAGGAAATGTTAAAAAGTTTAGGTCATTTTTTAGTGCTGGTTTAGGTTTATTTTTATGATGGTTGAAGTTCATTTTCAGTCTTGTTGGTAGTGAAAAGGCCTAAAGTAATAGCAGAAGAAGTTTATCATATGTAACATGGACAGAAAGAGCTGGGGCAGACTGCAACATAAAATGGCCTCAGTATAAAGAGAGTGACGTTGCCACAAACAGCACACGTCACAAGAGATTCGCGACAGTACTATTACGGAGGCCAGAGAAAAATAAAAGATCCAGGAACCTCTTCCTAAACAGGAAACAAGGGATGAGCCTCTATACCTGATCAAGAGAAGGGGGAGGAGTATTGACCTGGCGATAGGCAAGCCTATCTACTCCTATTGCACGCACACAGAAAAAAAAAAACAAACAGAAAGAAAAAAAGAACAGACAGAGACAAATAAGTAGAATACGAGAAGTCAATGAACACCGTACGTGGCACACAGAGTTGAGACCTAAATATAAAGTTTCAACTTAGTTTAAGTACCAGCATGCACTTGTTGAATAAGAACACTGCACATCCGGAATTCCCATGATGCCTATTTGCATGAGTTAGCAGGGAGAAAAAAAAATGAAATTCAAAAAACTAATATTTAAAGTTTTCGAAAAAGAAGAAGACTAAATTCGCTTCCATTAATAATAAAAAATTAAAAAGAAAAAAAACGAAAAAAATAAAATAAAAGAATAGAATGAATGTTATGGAATTAACATAAAAAAAGATAAAAAAAAACACAAAAATCACATACACTCTCAACGCCAAAAATCCACAGTGAGTACTCCTTTCTATCTGTGCGCACCTACACCTCTGTTAACGAGTACCTTTTTCCAGAACCTTATAAAACTCTTTTTCCCGCCTTGTTCACCTTGCTATCCTATTTTGGCGCGGAACATTTTCTTTGATCTCGTACCACGAGATACCTACTTGTTTTCCATCTAATAAAAATTACACATGTTTTGCATCCAGACGCCTTTGTCATTTTATTCCGGCTATCTCTTTGATGTTTATAATTTATGCACTTGTTGATTGACCCCTTTCCTCTCACTGTTCATGCATACATTTCTTTTATACATTGTTTGTGGACTCGGTAGTTTAGTGTGGTGTCTGGCACAAAACCACTTTGTAATAAACCAGCACTGCACGCTGCCGGGTCTGCAACAATGTCATTTCATCAAGAAATGATGCCAACAATTAAAAAAAGAAAAAAGAAGAGAATAAATGAATAGGATTAGGGGTGAAATTCAAAGATATACATAAAGACGGGCAACAACATTCTGTTTTGTACAAAAAAAGTTATTTACTTTTGCTTGCTTCGTCAAGGTGATGACCCCAATAAATGAGCAACGAATTTGGTCGGATTTTTTTTTTATTTACTTCTCGGCGTAACGGAATTGAAACCACAGAAAAATAATTGACACGTGACTGTTGCAAAAGCGAAAATTGGTAACCTGAAAGGTAGAACCTTGTGTTTTGTTGTGTTTACTGTTGTGGTGGTTAATTCTTTAGCCGATTGATGTTACCCTCAGCATCCCGACTCTAGAGTTTCGTAGACAGATTCTCCAGCAATTGCTCTGTCCACACGTCAAAGGATATCAGCAATATGTCTATATATATATATATATATATATATATATATATATGAAGATTGCTTTTAAATGAAACAGACTGTCGCTACCGGATGTTGACATCAGTGTCCACTTTTATATTTACATACACTCTATCTTTAACCTATAAATATAGCATTCCCTAAAACTATATTTTTATCAAACCCACACACACACACAATTATATATATATATATATATATATATATATATATATATATATATATATATTCTATGCTAACAGATTCTTCTTTGGCACTTTACGCTTTTCCAATCAACTTTGATCTTCAAAACTTTAAATGCAATGTCAATCGTTATCTTATGTCTTCTTAATCCTGTTCTTCTTTTAGCATCTCTCTTTAATGATTTTCTTCAAACTCTTTTACACTCAGTAACCTCTTGCTACTCAGTGGCTTTATAGCCTTTCTTGGGGTGAAATGATCAGTATATATATATATATATTATAATAATAATAGCTAGCCACTCGTATTCGAGGGCACCCGTCAACTAGAGCGGCTAGCCAATCCCTATTGCAGACGGATGCTCTGTGGTTTATACTGCAACTATGCTGAGCAGACCTTAGTTACGGTTTCTGGGAATGAGCGTGTTATCTAGCGTGATCAACAATGTGAAAAAGTCCAGCACACTCAAGCCCTCAGTCACGATGACGTGTGACTTCGTGCTAGCACAGCTATCGAGCCCCCCCCCAAGGGTTCCATCTACCCAATTTCACTCACAAGGCTTGGGTCAACCCATTATATGGTTTTCAGACACTTTCCAAAGGTGCCGTACGCTGAGATCGACCCCGGACTGGAGGGGTCGATCCTAGTTCTGACAAATCGACCATGGTGAGATTCGAACCCAGGTCTCTTGGTCAGAATGCGAATGTTCTAACCACTTGAACACGATGTGTACAAAATAATATGAGTGAATGTACTTACAGTCATTTTGTTTTGGTAGCAATTACTCCCTAACTGACCTAATGGAGTTTCACAGTCTTACATAAAAAAAAAAAAAAAAACATAAAGTAATATAAAATAAAAGGCGGGTAGAAAATAATAAATATTACAATAAATTAAGTTTGTTGATTGCCCGTCCTCTTGAAGGAAGGCTATAAAAATTTATGAAGATGAAGATAAAAAAATAAATATTATAATAGACTAGGTTTGTTTATACCCCTTGCTTTAAAAGTGAAGTGTTTAAAATAATTTAAAGAAAGCCAGACGATTAATAAAAAAAACCCAAAAAACTAATAAATTTGAAATGGAGAATTTGTTCTTTAAACTCCCTAAAAATAAAATGGCTCGAAAAATAACAACCCGCCGAAATAATGTCTGTCAAACGCGGACTTTTGTTTTGATTTTAAGTTTTCAAAAACAGATCCACTTTTGGATTTTTTAGCCAATTACGAAGATGACTTCCTCCCACACAAATTTAAAATTTGGAACTCGAGTATGGAATCTATTTGTGGCCTATATAAAGAGTCGATCTGGTTAGAAAAATCATAAGGACTGAAGGTTTTGAGAAGGACACAAGGATTTCAGTGGTCAAAAAACTAATGACAGAGAGATGTTTGGGAATTAGAAAGAATTTTGGTTGTCACCAGTCAATGAACTGTTTCTTGCGAAAGAAGAAGCAAAAGAAGAAAGAAACAGTAGGAAAAGAAGCAGAAGCTAAAAGAAAAGTGAAAAATTGTTGAAATTAATTATTGAACTGTTGTTTGAAAAAGAATACAACGAGATCTCGATGTTTTTGTGGTTCCTCTTGAGAACAAATTTGTTAAAGTTCCAGGGGTTCTGGTGAATCTGTTAACCTTCAAGTTTCAACTTTCAAATAAGTAAGTGTATCTTTTTTGAAAGAATATATATTATGAACGTTTTGAAAGGAATTGTATTGTTGTACCTTCTCAAAAAATTTTCCCATTGTTAAAAAAATTATATCAGCTTTTATGAGCCATACTTATTTTTGAATTGGTTATCTTGCCTTAATGATAATAATGCGCACAGAAGGAAAATTTTGTGCAATCTTATTTGTATATTCTATATTCTGTTTGTTAATATCATGTCAATAAATATAAATTTTATTCAAGTTTCACTGTAGAGTTTCGAGTCTTGCTTGTTGCATTTGCGTCTTATGAATAATCGGGATAAGAGAAGTGATCTCTCTCTCTCTCTCTCTCTCTCTCTCTCTCCTCTCTCTTCTCCTACTCTCCCAGTAAAAAAATCCTTTTACTAAAAAATTATACTTAACTAAGTTGTAAAGGTTGCAGTTGGAAATATCCCCTTAATTTACGCATTCGTGTTAATGTGGCACATGTCCCCCATACGACCGGCTGAACACGTACGAAGTCAAGTGGGCCCTAATGAAATCAGAAGTGTCGGATTTTTTTAATGGCTGGAAGGTAACCTACTTGAGCGAGGAAGAAGAAAATAATAAAGAATACATGAAAAAGATCAAGTGGCATTCCGTCGGAAAACCAGATGTTTCCGCTGGCAGCCCTATATAAGTAGAGTCCCGGCTTCGTACTCGGGACAGAGGAGAGGTCGGTTCAATCTGTTATGTCGGTAGCAGTCACTCGACTGAAGTAAGAAGAAAAGTCGAAGGGATCTATTTGCCACCTACCTACTACCAAAGAGAATACCAAATCCGAGCCGGAAATCGAATTGAAATAAACACCAAATTGTTGAGAAACGGATTCGTATCTTCATCTCTTGCTGTTGATTTTATCTTCCGGTTTTTTTTTGTTTTTTTTTTTGTGAACGTACCGCGAGACTTTTCCAGTCTTTGTACATACTGGCGCGAACGAGAGGCGCGACACAACGTGGAGATTGATTTGTTCAGTCGGTGAAAGACAGTGAGAGGTCCCGTTGTATGTTCACATTAAACTCTAACCGTCATATGTCCAATTGTGGTTTGGTCGAACTCACATAAACAGTTTTGGCGGCAACATGTAAGCTGCTAATGATATTTCGTGTTATAATTTAGTATAAATAAGTATAAATAATAATTTTTTTTTAAAGAATTTCACCCCAAGCAGAGCGGGATGCCACTAGTAGGCAAGAGGTTACAGAATGGGAGCGAGAGTAAAGAGGCGTGACGGAGGAAAGGGTGAAGAGAATGGCAGGGAATAGGTCAGGGCATCTGGAGATGTCGATTGACATTACATTTGAATAGTTGGAGATTATAGCTATCAGGGAAACAAGTAATAGGAAGAGAAATCCACAGACGAGAGGTGCGAGACATGAAGCTATTGGAGTAGAAGAGACTGCCACATTTAACCGTTTCGACAGTGAAAGGGTGGAACCGTGATGCTAGCCTAGTAGCACGCTTAAATTCATGCAGTCTGGGAACTAGCGAAAGTAGCTCGTCGGAGCAGTTACCATAAAAGTATTTGTAGAAAAGACACAGGGAGGCGACGGCACGTCTGTGAGAAAGCGAATTAATTCAAAAATGTTAGTAAATAAATATTAAATCATCTGGTTATATTTTATACACTTTTGGAAGAAATATATTGAAGGAAAGCCAGACGGTTTGTGAATAATTGTTACATTTGTGTGTAAAAATTTCTTTATTAATTTTGTTGGGACTGTTGTTCTAATAGTAGAAATTAGAAATCATTAAATGTCTATATCTTTGAGATGAGGTATTATGATTACTTGCATTATTTACATTATTCGGACTGTTATCCTCATTTTCATTGCCATATTCACGATGTTTCGGCCGTTATACACTCCGGCCTTATTCAGATGATATGAATTTCGAATCGGACCCTTTATTTCGCCCACCGGCGTAAATTGTTCTAGTTCCACGGGTCGTGTTTATTTCGGATGCCTCAGTTAACTCAACTCTCCAAGTATTAGTTCCCCACTGAGGTAGCCAGGTATTGAACGCACAACTTTTCTGGTCAAGTTACTGGATCCAACCAACACTTTTATCCACTGGGCAATGTAAACAGTGTAAATGGTTGCATTTCAGAAATATAGACAAAAATTTCTTTGTTTAGAATTGGCTCTAAAAATGACTGCCAGAAATAACTATCATAACATATTGTTGGGGATTCATTTTTTTTTAAATTTAAAATAAAATATATCCCCGTTGTTTTTTGTCCGATGAAAAGGGTGGATTCCGCCCTTGTGAATTTAAAGTAGAAGTCCGTTTGAGCCTTGTTTGAAAGTATATGAGAACACGGGTCAGCGGATGACTCTGTAGGAATCCTTCTACTCGGTTTTTCGTTGAATGTTAAAATCTGGAGTGTCGGGATTCAATACATTAATAAAATATCGTCACAGGGTCCCTCGTAATTTGGCCGTCTAGAATAATCAAACGCTTTTCATTGAAGGAATAAAATTCAGTAGAAAAAGACGACGTAGTTTCAACAAATAAACATTGATTTAATATAACGATAGGAATAGAAACAATTGATAATAGATTGGAAAGTAATGTCTTTTGTTTGGGTTGATAAAGTTCTGAAATAAAATATAAACTGTCTTTGTGTACGTGTGTGAGAAACAATAAAATGTTGTGATATGTGTTTGTATGAAAAAGTCAACATGCGTATGCGTGATTCATAGTAAAAACGGATACGAATTGTTTCTTACTGTTGGCGGTGATGCCGTGGTCTGGAGTTTGTCAACGCTGTCGTTTTTGACATGAGGTCATAAAGGTCATCAGCGAGAGGTGTGTGTAGTTTGCTGGCAGCCGCATGTATATTGTTTTGGGAACGGATTTCGTATGTTTTTATACACTTTTTCCGAACAATATCGGCTCCAGAATTAAATTATTTATTTATTCCTAATTGGCCCTAAGAAGTCACGTGGTATGTCTTCTACTACGTCCGTACGATATTTGGTCGGTATCTACCTAAAAATAATTATGACTAATACTACAAACATTCTGATTTGTAATTATGATTTTATTGGTGTGTTTTAAGATGTAAGTGTTTTCTTGAGTGTAATTGGTTTATAAATATTGTAGTTGATATTTTAGTGGACACGACAACTCCAGGAAGGAATTAGAAGTCAGATGCGAACAAATCCAGTTGTCTGCGTGGAAGCAGAGAAGGAACGAGAGGGATTTAAGCAGCTGATTCGATTGAGGTCGGCTGGTCGCAGGGAAGCAGAGAAGGGACTTTGACGTCAGACGCGAAGGAAGCAGGCTCACTGCGGAAAGGTTCTTAGCGTTCATATGTGAAAGTCAGTCGCTAGGAGAGCAAAAGGCTAAAATGTTTCACCATTTCTCTAGGATTACGACGACGAAAATGAAGAACAAAGAAAAACTTACGACACAACCACCGAAAGGAAACTCAAAGAAATTTAAAAAAATATATCGTTAAAGACTCCAGTGAAGCACGTAGGTAGCCAAGCAGAAAGAAAACTGAAAGACATTTCAACATATCGTTAAAGTTCCCAGAGTCCCTCGTCTGATAAATCCAAGTAGGTTTTTCCTCTCCCTATTTAGGTTGGTGCATCTTTTTTTAAAGTGTAATTTCTTCCCTTTTTCAACAGTTTTCGTATCCCATTCACAAGGCTTTTTTTCATACTATTTTTTGAAAATATACAACTTTTCTTTTTTAAGTAAAAACTTTGATTTAAATTCTTTTAGTGAACTCAAGGTTAACAGGAAACCGCTGCTTTCTGGGACTGACTTCCAAGAAGATGCTACCCTAATCGTTACATTCTTAACCTAATCAAATGTTATGTTCCCTATATATCCGCATATATCGTTCCTCTTAATCTACTCTTACCTACTACCTCGATTGCCCTCTTGTACAGGGTGGACATCATTTTCAAAAAAGAAAACCCAAAACCTTAAATATTATACTTTCTGATTCCTATAAAATAAACAGTGAATACGCTATTTCGATACTCTTTCTATAAGAATCAATTTACTATCTCTCTCAGTTTGTTCATATCTATCTATCTATCTATCTATCTATCTATCTATCTCAGTCTGTTCATATCTGTTTACCTATCTGTTTCAGTCTGTTCATATCTATCTATTTGTCTCAGTCTGTTCATATCTATCTATCTATCTATCTATCTATCTATCTATCTATCTATCTATCTATCTCGGTCTTCTCGTATCTATTTATATCTCTCTCTTTCTCTCTCTCCCTCTTCTCATATCTATTTCTCTCTCTCTCTCTCTCTCTCTCTCTAATTCACAGTCAGTTCATATCTATCTATTTATCTAACTCTCTCTTTCTCTCTGTTCATCATATCTTGTGGGAAATTTGTCCCGGCTTTGCCACATGAAAGGGTTAAGGTTAAAGGTAACAAGATCGGTAAAAGCAACAATGGATGGATAGTTTAGAGCGGACAATTCTCTCTTTTAGGTGGAGGAATAAAAACTCGAACTCCTGCTCAGGGTGTAACAATAGAAAAATAATATGTTGACTTACATGCACAAAAAAGGTAAAGGGACATATACAAAATATGAGAGAAAGAAAGGAAGAAGAAGATCCGTAGTTTGTAGTTCAGTGAGTTCGTAGTAGAGGCCAATGACAGGAATTTCAAGGTCCTAGATATCAGATCTCAAGTAGTTTTAGTAGAGGGCCGATGTTCTGTCTTTAGAGCCCAGTATGTAGATTTCTTCCTTGAAATAGGTTCCGAAGATGACTGGTGTTACTGTCGCCGACCTGATGTTATCACAGGCGATGTCAAATACTCACTACCAAAGAGGCGCATACTCTCTGTATTTATCAAGATTAGAAGGCTCAGAAATATTGGGAACTTTTCCCCAAAAAATTGCTTATACACTTTCCCGGACCTCTTATTCGTCAGACAAAATATTCTTACCTCTGATAAGAATTAAAGGTTTGGGAGTTGGTTTTGGAAGCAAGGGTGCGACAAGTTGTAAGCGTTACCCCCGACTTTATGACGCTATGGTCAAAGCAGGGATGTTAAATTCCTTTTTATATTTTCCAGTCCTCTCGTTCGACAGAATATATATTCTTATCTCTGATACGGATCAAGGCTTTGGAAGACAGTTTTGGAAGCAGTAGTGTATGCCAGGGCAAAGATCAGAAAAGAGGATAGAACGTGAACTTGTAAAACATTGTAGTAGTGATTCTCAAATTAAATTCTAATAATCTATCTATCTATCTATCTATCTATCTATCTATCTATCTATCTATCTATCTAAGTCTGTTCATATCTATTTCTATCTCTCTCTCTCAGTCTCTTCATATCTCTCTCTCTCTCTCTCAGTCTGTTCATATCTATCTATCTCGGTCTGTTCATCAAGCTATCTCTCAGTCTGTTCAAGAATGAAGACGAAGAAAGAAAAAAGAGAAAGATAGACAAAAAAAATTCTCAAAATATGTGTAGGTATGTGTGTGTGCGTATGTGTATGTGTGACTGGATGTTGTTCATGCGTTTCCACAGTTTTCATCCGATTTCGATTAATTTTTTTTGTTTGATAGATAATTCTTCAGTGCTGGTTTTGAGTCCAAATTGGCTGGAAAAGATTACAACCTTGAAGGTGAAAAATCGAAAGAACTGATTTTTTACACTCAGCACAAAAATCAAAGGCAGAATTTAAATGTCTGTAAAAAACAGCGTACAATCAATTTATTTAAAGTGTTGAAATCTAACGCAAAAGATTACTAGAATTATAAAAAAAATTATTATTATAAATAAAAAAAATTATCGTATATTATGACGGTCCATGGAAGGGTTCCTTCCTTGCAAGATTGAGAACGCAAAAACGGCCCTTTTCAGGGCCACACCACCATTCAAATTGTTACCCCTCCATTTGGAGATGTTTCTGAGTTGCACCCAGTTGTTGTTACTAGTATTGATCTTCGAATGGGCTGATTTTAAACTTAAATTGCTCCAATTGAACGGCAAAAATTCCCAGTAATGAAACAACTGGTCGAAGACGGGTTATACTGCTAGTTAAACAATTTAAACAAAGAGAGCGAGGAAGTGAGTAAGCAATGAAATGAGATGAAAATACATTTTTATGGATAAGAAGCAACATAATTTCCCAGTGAAACATTGATTGGTTCAGTCGAAACAAAGAAATTGAAATAAAAAAATAAAAAAAATAAATACAGAATGAATGAGCGAGTAAAATGAAAATGTTTTTTAAAAAGCGAATGCGGAATAATAATTTGAGCAGACTAAAAGATTAATACACCGATTTCTTGGAACTCCGATTCTTTCAACGGACCTCTTAACTTAAGAAATAAAAACGAACCTTTTTCATTGCCTGGAGACTAGACAGTGCATGTTATTGTTAGATCCTAGTCGTATTTTCCTTTCCCTCTTTTTTTTCTGAAATAAAAAAAAACCGTTCTATTAATTTCATGAATTGGTGCTAGTGTGTCATTTGACTGATTTGGTCGCACGAGGAAAGATCAGAAACAAGTGCTTGTTACAACAACATTTTAAAAAGAAAAGTATGGATGGAATAGGTAAAACGACAAATAATTCCCACAACAGGTAATTATTATTTAAAAGTCTTTTGTTTTGTTTAATTGATAATTACAGATATTTATTTTTTTGGTTGGTAATTCTGAAAAAAAAATGTTTAAAAAGAACTATTTTAAATTTTTTATGCAACTGAATGAAAAAAAATGAAGTTAAAAAAAAAAAAGAAAGCGGTTTTCTCTCTTATTCATTTATTTTTAAAGTGTATATTTTAAAATTAATTTTCTTTAATTCGAAAACTCAATTAATTTCAAGATAAAATTAAATAAATAAGTTATTTTTTCTTTGGCCTTTTGGGAAACCACAGACTTCAAATTGGTTTATTTCCGAAGAAGTGTAAAGTAAAAACAAAAAAAACAAAACATTTCTATAAATCAAGAACCAATATTTTTTCGATTCTGACAAGTTATATATCCAAAAAAGGAAATAAATATTGTTAATGTTAATCTACAAAAAACAAATCCCACCCCACAATTTCCCGTTTTTTTACGAACGGACCTGTTTTTTAATTAACTTTATCGTTTTTCACTAGTTTTTCTTTCATCACATTTTTAATTTTTTCAAAAAAATTATCCGATCACAACACCTAGATCGTTATTCTACGATCGTTCTGAAAAAAATAAACAACGAAAATTGTGATTAAAAAAAAAAATAAACAAATCTCCGGTCATTGAACCTGAGAGTTGCGATAGAAATCATCTACAAACAAAATAAAATCTAACAATCTAACATGCTTCAACAGTTTTTCAACAACAGCTTTCATTTATTTCCTTAAATTATGAATTCGGGGATGAAATTGAAATCCATCATCATTGGAAACTGAAATATAGAAAAAAATTTAAAATTAAAAACATTGTTGACACAACTTTAAACAAGTCATCACAAGCAAAAACTAAAACAACACCTGTATTTTTACCCCATGAAAAATGTCAGTCAGTGTCAATTAACTTTTTTGTCTTTGTTTTTTTTTAATATTTTTTATTTATTTCCTTTTTTCTTACATAGGCTTTGCCTTAATTGTTTTTAAATTTACACAGTCAGTGCATTAGTACGAACTACTTTTTCTGCTCTTTTTAGTGTCTGTTAGTGTTAAGTTTGTTATTTAATATTTATTGTGTAAAGTCAGTTTTTTTTTTTAGGGTCAAGTCCTAAAATAAATACAGTGAATCACTTCACTATGGTTTTACTGAGCTTCATATTCTGAAAGTACACTTTTTTTATTCCAAAAATAAAATTTTGAAATATAATTCAACCTTGAAAACCAGAAAGAATTCGGAAAACAATGATAAAAAAATGTCATGATAAACTTCATTTTATTTTAGAATTTTTAGTTGGATGAAAATTGAAAAGAAATATTAATTAATAAATTGTTATTTTTCGTTATATTTTTGATGCAACGCAAGTGAGAAGTCACAAATAAAAATCTGAGCAATTTTTAAAAATGTTGTTTTTTTTTAGTTTGTGAATGCTCAGAATATGAAGCTAGGTAAAACAATCTATATTGTAATCCAGTGAGCGGTAAAGTTTTCGAACACTAAAATTGGATATATGATATACTCCAATTTACTACAAAAGCAAACATTTGCGCTAAAAAAAATGTTGCTGGGCGGAGACAAAGATCAAAAGAAAAAAAAAAAGCATTTCGTTTCGATTTTTTTAAAAAATACATTTTTTTTTATATGTGAAATAAGAAGATAATGCTAAGTGCTAAATTATTTCAATTACAGTTTTTAAAAGGTTTTATTTTATTTAAATTCTGAACACAAGTTTGCTTTGATTTTTCCTTTTTTGTTTTTTAATTTTTATTAATTTTTAATTTAATTAATTTTCTTCGTTTTCAAATGAAATACATTTCTACTTTAACTTTATTCATTTACTGATTTAAAAAGAAACATCCAATTAATTAAGTTTTCGTTTTATTTATTTTTAATTTTTCAATTACTAGGAAAATTGCCCTGTCATCAGGGCCTAGGCTAAAAAAAAAAAGAAAAAAAGAAAACTTTCTCCGGCAAGGGAACTATCTAACGAGTGGATGATTGCGGACTAAAAGTATAAACACGACCATCAGTATTTACTTATAAAAAAAAAAACCAAAAAACTTTGACATTAATCCAACAAGGTTTGAATGTTGTAAACACCCCCCACCAACCCAACCCATTAAAAAAGGAAGATCTCTCTTGATATTTTAAAAAAACAACTTTTCTTTAAGGATGAAAATTGTAAAGTTTTACTACGAAGGTTGCTGAGTGAAAGAAAAGTTATCGGTTTGACAACAAAAAAAGTATTTCCAACAATAAATAAAAATAAATAAGAATTAAAAAAATAAAAGCTAATCTTCTATATTCCGTGTTCCTTCAGGACGTAGTCAATCATGGCTTGTCACAATTTTTTGTTCTTTGTAGTTCTTACTAAATTTTTTGTCTTTTTTTTATTTTTTTTATCTCTCCTAAGTAACTGTTCTGCCAACCGTTTACACAAAAACTTGTTAGGCAGGTGTTATGCACTGCTTTCCTCTGCCCTCTTGCATTTAATATGTCCTGTCAGTGTCAGACTTTCTAAGCCCTCTTTCCTCATTATGCATCCTAGAAATTAAACCATAAAACATCTGATATTTGTTCAGGTTTTGGGAAGTATGTTGGGTAGAGAACTTTTCAGCAACCCCTCAATTCAGTCATGAATATTAGAAAAATATATGTAAAAGCTCAAAAATAATTAATCCTACTTTTCACTAGATATTGGAAATATCAATGAGGATTGTCATTCTCATTGACATTGATTTTTTTTTCTATCTTGTCTTCTTCAGCTACTAAGAAAAAAAATGTTACCACACCATTTAACCATCAGAAAACAAAATGAAGGCATCATAAAGTTTAATGTTCCAAACTATTTTTGAACTAACCTAATATGCTGAACCTTTCTTTGGACTTAAAAAGTCATAGTTTGGTTTGGTTTGTTTTATGGCATATCAGCCTCAATGGGTTATTTAATGCCGATAAGATTTTTATCATCTTACCTAGGACGCAGATGTAGTTTATTGTGATACCCAGTATGAGTCATGGTTCAGAAATAAAAATGACAAATAGTGTCAGAAATACAACACGATATATTTCAATCATTTTTTTCTGTACATAAAAAGTGAAATTTAATTGCTGTGAATAAACTTGCACTGATATATCAATTCATATGGGAAGATCTTTTTGGCCAATAAGCTCTCAGAAGCAATGAAAAGTATGTCCTTGTTTTGACTTCTGTAAACATTTTCTTATCCCATAGATTCCTTTTTATAGGATGGGAATAATTCCTTTATATAGGATGTGAATAATAATTTCTTTACAGATTGCAGAAGTGATAACATAGTCATATAGAAAAAGGAAAACATTTTTTTTTAATGTCATGTCACTTTAGAGTATAGGTAGTCCACAGATTCCTTTTCTTTATTATCTGGGAATTGCTATGACTTCTTGGTGTGTGTGTGTGTGGGGGGGGTGTTAGTAATTTCCCATTGCCTTCTCCACAGAGAGTTGGCTTTCTCCCTTCAGGATGTAGGCAATCATGGCTCTCTGCAGATTCCTTTTCTTTATTGTTTGGAAATTGCCATGTCTCCTTGGGAAAGATAGTAGAATGGTTTCCTGTTGCCAGCTCCACAAATTTAACTTCAGAGTTGTTTTCCTTCTCATCAAGATCAACCTACTATTCAATGTGTAGCTGAAGGGAAAAGATGATTCCTGCTTTTCCCAACAGAATGATATCTACAATCTCTGTCATGGATATCCGCACTTTCTTTTTTTGTTATCTGGGAA